CCACCAGGTAACAGGGGCAGGCCAGCATAATGCCTGAACCTTTCAGTTCAGGTTAGCATGGTTAGCAGACTTAAATCACGTAGGGGGTTCACCATTTTGTCAGTTTTCTGGTGGTTGAGTACTGACCTAATTTTAACTCTTAACTTTAGGTACTTTTACTGGAAAATTAAAGATGAAATGTAAGTAGAGTTAAAGGATTGTAGATAATGGGCAAACATGGCTTGGTATGGTTTTTTGCATAGCAAGTACTCTTGCTATGTGTTTTGGCCTGCATGATGACAAGCAAATGCTGACTAACATGAAGCTCTTAATTAGCTCTATCTGATCCGGGCTTGGTTAGGTTTTGGTGGGACAAATTATCTTTTTTGACTGGGCTGAAATTCTGAATTTTTTTTAGGTGTTCAAGTTGTCTGGACAGCTTTTCATTTGAGTAAGTATTGGAATCCAACACCGGCTATAGGCCAGTTTAGAGAGGCATGCCACGCTTGTGGATGTCAGACATCTGCGTGTGTTGTCTCGTGAATGTGTTAGGTTTAGTTGGACTATGCTCTAATCGGGGTTTTTGTAATGATGTTGATCCAAATGTCTGACCTGAAAATAACATACATGTAGACAGCAAATTAAACACTGAAGAACCCTGTGACAGGCAACTAAGAATAATTGGATGATGCTTAGCATATTTGTAAGAGGTGTTTTCTTTTAATTCTAGCAACTGGTTGCATGTTTGCATTTGGATGGCTTGCTTTGGTAAGAAGCTAGTTACTGGGCTCTTGGTTTATGCTAATGAGCAGGGTTATTTGCAGTATTATGCAACAGTTAATTCTTAGTACTTAATTTTTTATGTCCAATTTGGCCTTTTAAATTACCTATTTTATTTAGGTAGGAGTACTCTACTTACATACCAGAAGAGGGCATCGGATCCCATGATGGAGCTACCACATGGTTACTTGAGAACCCTGGACCACTGGAAGAGCAATTGACATTCTAAATGAAGGTAAGGAAGCCCCTTTTTTGCAGACTCAACTGTTTAGGGATATATGCTACTGTTAGTGATGATGTATAAAGCTAAACAGATGGGAATCTCTCTGAATAAGATTGAAGATTAATTCTTAAGCTGAAACAGTAGTTACAAATTTGTGTAGGTGTCTACTTCATAAATCTGTTTGTAAATGGAATTGAATTTCTGTAGGCTATCAGCATGGTTCCGGTTGAATGAAGGCACAGACAAGGTTTTCTACAATGGTAAGTTTCTTGGCTGACCAAATATGTGCATGTATGAAAGTGTTTAGACAATTCCCCAATAAATGCCGATACTGTGATGATAACATAGTTCAGCAGACTTAACCTGATGAACAATCCTAAGTCTTTCGCTCCTATCTGACGTATCTGGCTGTAGTGGTTTAAATTGCTAGTACAATGTGGAAGTTGTGATTTGGTGTAAGGCCTGGCCTTAGCTTTTAGGCTTTGGTCTCAATCACATAAGTCCTGGCTATTGTTTAGAGTGTAGTTTCTTAGGTATGGTGGTTACAACTATAAGATTTCAAGATAGGCCTCTTGGCAAGAGAATTGTTTGAAAGCTACTGTCCAAAGAGTAGTGTGAACTGAACTGAGCAGTTAAATTTTTGGGCTAATAATTTTTTTTTCTTCAAACAGATCAGATCCTTCATTTTGAATCTCAAGGTAAGTCACCTTGGGTTTTGTAAAGATTCTATTTGGCCTGTAACCAGTGATGTGATGATTCTGCCAAATGATACATAGTGATATCACCTTTAAAACCGTTCCATTTTATTTCTGAGGTTACTATAGTAATATGTAACCTACAACTAGTCTAAGCAAGATAGACATTTTTTTCTTTTTTCTTTTTAGAGCTCCTGTGGCAGAAATGGACTTGCAATTCAGTCATTTTCACCTTACTATTTAAAAGGTGAGAATTGGAGATAGTAACTAGGAGGGCAGCTGGGGATAAAAATACTAACCTTAAACCTATTCCAGAATATGTGATGATTCACCACAACTTGAACTCTCTCAC